AGCCATGAGCCCTGTGTCTAGTGCCCATCCCGAGGGGGTTGGGGGGAAGGCCGGGATGCAATTGGCCTTCTGGGTGGGCTGTGGGACACCCTTGCTGGCCTGGGATCTGGATCCATCCCGCTGACATTAGTGTCTGGAGCCACCTGGTGGCCGCTTTTATATCGTTTCTTCCTTGCCAAGCCTCTAGGGAGGGAAAGCGGCCTCCAGGAGGCCTGCGGCATTGTATGGATTGTGCCAGCAGTGCCGGTCCTCAGTGCCTGGCCATTATCCAGAGATTGGACTTGCAGGACTACTGAGAGTGTGTGGCTGCTGCCAGGCTGCTGGGGTGCTGGGACAGGTCAGTCCACTGAGTGGTGCTTTCACTGTAGGAGCACACTGACCACCAGGGGGCAGCTACTGCATTGAGCGGCTGCTCCCGGGTGGACATTGCGTGTCATAGCTACCGGTCAACTGGTCATTCGGTTGTTTGGTCGCTTAGGCTTTTATATATATAGAAGATTGTCAAAAATCAACAGCAAAGAGAATATGAAAGAAGCAAGAGAATGACTGATCACATACAAGGGGATTCCCTCAAAGCTATGAGCAAAATTTTCAGCAGAAACTTCACAGTTCAGGAGAGAGTAGATGATACATTCAAAGTGCTGAAAGAAAAACAGGTAAGAATAATTTACCCAGCAAAGGTTCATAAATGAAAGAGCTATAAAGGTATTCCCACATGGGGGTGGGGCCAGGAGCGAGGAGGGGCCATCATAGTTCTGAGCAGAACAGGGACTTAGAGCCAAACACCCAGACAGGCCACATGTATAGTGAGGCCAGGGGCACAAGGTCAGGTAAGTTGCTGTGCTGGGTGCAGACCCATGTACCCTGCAGTACTCACATCTTCACATGGCACTCTGCCTGTCCATCACCCAGAGCCTACCCACAGAGCCAGGGTTGAAGCTCTTCAGGATGTTGAGTGTGGGGCCAGGCCCCCAATTCTCAGAATGGGTGGGGCCACTGTGATTTTTTCTTTAGAGCCTTGGTTGAGGTTCTTCAGTGATGGGTGTGGAGCCTGGCTCAACTCTCAGGATGGGTGGGGCTCCTAAGTCTGCCAGGGAAGCTCCTTCTTGGGGCACTATAGCAAGGTCAGGGACCCTTCCAGACTCTCATAGTTTTATGGGCTTCTGTGGTCCATTGCATTAGTGCCATGTGTTCTGGCCAGGGGGCTGTTGGTTTTGTGTTAGCTCAGCACTCAACTAGTAATCGTCCCATCTGAAAGGGAAACAGCCCCTGCCTCCTGGTTGCAAAGCCAGTTCTCTGGGGAGCTTTCTTCTTTTGTAGAATCAGCAGAGATGTGGACTGTAGATGGAGGAGTGATGTTATGTAAGTCCTTCCCTGTTTGTAGCAGCTTCTGGAGATGCCTTGAATTGACCTGGGCTGAAGAGCCCAGGCCTAAGGGGCCTCAGCCCATTGCTCACCTGAACACAGACTCCTGTGTGGCTGATTTATTTCTCTGAGCCTCAGTTTGCTCACCTATTAAATGGGACATCATAGTTTTGCCAAGGAGCTCAAATCAATCAAAAAGATCTTAGTAACCTCTAAAAATGTTATATAATACTGTTTTTAAAAAGTGGGCTATAAACACTGGCGGACATTCAACAGCCAGATTTACCAGGCATGGAAAGTACTACCCTAGGAAATGGGTTGATCAGAGGGACTTGAGTCTCTATGAAGGGCCCTGAGACGCAGTGAGGTGGGAGGTATGGCCTGGAGGAGGGGTGTGATAGGTTTTATTTCCTCCTGACCCTAACTAATTTTGACCCCCACTCTCTGGACACCAACTGGGTATCCCACAACTCAATTCAATTTGGGCCTAAGCTGGCAGTTGGACATCCTTAGCGCTACTGTGGAGGCAGGAGAAGCTCCTGCCACCACCGCTGTGCTCACCAGGCTTCTGGCTGAGCTGTGCTCCCTCCTGTGGGAGCACACTGACCACCAGGGCGAAGCTCCTGTGTTGAGCGTCTGCCCCTTGTGGTCAATGTGCATCATAGCAATCGGTCGTTCTGCCATTCAGTCGATTTGCATATTATCTTTTTATGACATAGAATGGCTGATTAAATCAGGCCTTGGCGATTGCCTTAATCTCCCATCCCTCACCATGCCTTTGGTTTTCTGGTGACCAGCCTCCATTCTGAGGGCATTTAGAGGGCCTAGCCCAGCCATGGGCAAACTACGGCCCGCGGGCCGGATCCGGCCCGTTTGAAATGAATAAAACTAAAAAAAAAAAAAAAGACGGTACCCTTTTATGTAATGATGTTTACTTTGAATTTATATTAGTTCACACAAACACTCCATCCATGCTTTTGTTCCGGCCCTCCTGTCCAGTTTAAGAACCCATTGTGGCCCTTGAGTCAAAAAGTTTGCCCACCCCTGGCCTAGCCCCTACTCATTTCACTCGTATACAAAAATCTCTTTTAGCCCGAAACGCTGGTATGTGCCGTGAGCAGGTATCAAACCAGTGACCTCCTGGTTGAAGCTCAACCACTGAGCCACATTGGCCAGGCAGGGAGCCCTATTTAGTAGATATCTTCTTCCTCAGGGTCCACACTAGTCAGCAATTCTTTCTTTGAAAGAATTACAGCTTGTGGTTTTTGCCTTTCTTTGTTCACTCCAGGCCACAGTTTGGGTTGCTACTCAAATCTGTGTCTCTCTGAAATTTGAACCTTTAAGGCCTTAGATGAACTTTTAATTTGGTTTAGAGCCTCAAGCCTTTATTAGTTAACACAACAGACAACCCTTCCAAATGACATGGCCATACTCACCTTTAGTGCTAATGGAGCATCACTCCCTCACACTCATGCCTAGAGGTGGAGGCGCCCTGTACCTATGGCCATCTTCCACGTTTGAACCTGATTGCCTGATGCCCAGGGAGGGAGACCTAAACGTGCAATTTGACTGCTGACGGTGCACTGGATGCCGAGACCCAGGCTTTGTGCCCAGACCCCTCTCCTTCTCCAGCTGCACGCCTCCCCTGGTGGCCTCACCCAGGCTTGGGACTGTGAATGCCCTCCATGGGCTGATGTTCTCACATTTCTATCTCCAGCTTCAACCACCCCTCTGATTTTGGAGCCTTTATCCAGCAGCCTCCTCCAACTCTTTATTTGGGCGCATCACAGCCATCTCAGACTGAACTCCCCAGACGGGAGCCTCCAATTTCACCATTTCCCGTATCCCTTTCAGCCTTCTCTGCCCACAGTCTCTTCATTTCAGGAAATGACATTTTGGGCCCCAAACACCGACTCCTCTCTTTCTCTCAACCCTGACATTCCATCTTTCGTCTGGTCCTGCCAATGTTATCTTTTTAAATAGATCCAGAACCTCATTGTCATCAAGCGCAGGGATACCCTGCCACATCCAGCAGCCATAGTCTAAACCCAGATCACTGTGCTGACCCCTGACTCTTCCCCTGGCTCTGAGGTTGCCCTCTAGTGTCTATTCTCGGACCAACGGCCAGAATTACCCTTTAAAACAAGTCAGATCTGGACAATTCTCTGCTCAAAGCCTTCCAATACTCTGTGTTTCAATCAGAGGAAAAGCCAAACTCCTGTCAATGGTGCACGGGGCCACATGTGATCTGGCCTCGACCTTTCTCTGCCTCGCTCCCTCCCGCTGCTCTAGCCCCTCAGGACTCCTTTTGTCCCTGGAACAAAATCTCCTTCCTCAGGGCGTTTGCCCCAGCTTTTCCATCTTCTTGGGATGATTTTCCCCAGACAGAAGGCTTATCACCTCACCTCCTAAAGAGCAGCAACCTCCTTCCCCCAGCTCCTACTACACCCCTTACCTTGCTTTATTTATCTGTCCAGCCCTTTTCTCACCTTGACCTGAATGATTTGTTTATTTGTTTACTTTCTGTCACTCTCAGCTGCCATTAGAATGCCAGGCTCCTCCTTGAAGACAGGCTTCTTACTTTGTTTGCCATTGCACTTCCTGTGCCTAACACAGTGCCTGGTCCACAGTATCAGAGCAGTAAAAACTGCCTATATTGAATACCTTTGGAACTATTTCCTTTATCTTTCTAAATAGCTACTCACTCTGGCCATTAGATGGCAGTCAAGTACTTCCTGTGCCTTGAAACAGCCTCCTAAATTTGGTGGAGGACCCTTTGAGGCAGCGGTTCTCAACCTGTGGGTCGCGACCCCTTTGGGGGTCGAACGACCCTTTCACAGGGGTCGCCTAAGACCATCGGAAAACACATATATAATTACATATTGTTTTGTGATTAATCACTATACTTTAATTATGTTCAATTTGTAACAATGAAATTGGGGGTCACCACAACATGAGGAACTGTATTAAAGGGTAACAGCATTAGGAAGGTTGAGAACCACTGTAAAGGATAAGCCAGAAAAAAGTAGAAAGGACTATTTCTGATTAATAGCAGGAACATTTTTCAAACCCAAATAGATAAGGCTTCTACTCTTTTAAAAGTTCTAAGTCCAGTCAAGAGCTAGGAACGGTTCATACCAATAAAAGTTTCTGGAGGGGAAACAAAAGCCGTGGTTGTTCCTATGAGCCCAGCAAGGCAATCCCAGCTGTTTGACAATTCATTTCCCCAATGTCTGTGTATTTCAAGCTTAGGTAAATTGTGCACCGAACACCAAAAGCTGAAATATTTTGTTTAAAATACAATCTAGTCCATCCATTTCTCCCTCCCCCTGTGCCTTCTCGTCCTCTTTCTAATCTCTTGTCCAGTCTGAAGAAAATATCAGGACTTGGGGTCTCCCTTTAGCATGGTTTGCTTTTACTCTCCTGGCAACGTTGACAGGAATACACACACCCACATTGCCATCCTCCAAGAACCAACAATACAGGTGCAAAGTGGTCACAAGGCAGATTAAGGACAAACACCCAACTCACTTCTCTAACCTAACCTGCAGGTGTAGTTCTTCCAAAGGCCACACCGGATTTACATCATTTAAACAGAACGCACACCCTGTCACAAGTATTCTCACTTGACCTTCTTTTTTTTTTTTTTTTTTTTTTTTTTTGCAGTATCTTGCCAAATCCTTTAATGTCAGGTAGTACTTCAACCCAAACACACACGGGATACATACTGCAGAGAAAGGGACCTGAGGGCATCTGAGTCATGCATGGTGTGGATACAAACCTTGGCCCAATGCAAAGAAGCAGTCAAGGGCCTCAAAGAAAGATGGTATTCTCTTTCCCCTCCCCATTTCTGTTTCCTACTGGGCTTGAACTAAAGTCCATGGAAGAGCAGGAGTTCAGTCAGTGGGGCCTTGGAGGGTATATTTGGTTGTACAGTATTACAAAATATATTTAAGAAAAAAATAGCCCAGGCCTCCCAGAAGCAGCCCAAATGTCAGCTGGTCCAGAGGGCCGACCTCTACATCTAGGTGTTAGACATGGGAAGAGGGTGATTGCTGGGCATTGGTGTTGGTTTGTGATGGAGCAGCATAAGATTTTTCCTGCCCTGTGAACATGTACATAAACACTGATAGCTCTCTCTGCTGCAAGAAAGCTGCTAAGAGTAAGTGACAGCTGGGCACAAAGTGTCCGGTAAGACCAGTTATAGGGTCTTATGCAGTGAAGTAAGTCATTCAGGACCTATTTTCACACAGGGGCAAGGAAAAACCAGAAACTTCTAGCTCAGCCTTTAGACCGAAACATTCCAATCTATACATTTACCTGTAACAAGTCTCTCAGCTCACAACAGGCCTTAGCTTCTGCTAAGGTATGAAGTATGGGAAACATATAATCCAGCTCTTTCAGTCCAAGCTCTAGCTTTCGGCAAGACTGTTGCAGAAAACTTCTGATGGAGAGACAGAAACATTTGCGGTGAGGAAGGCAGCTACTGAAGGAACTCCAGGAGCAGGAGACTGAGTGTGCAGAGCTGAGTGCTGTCAGTTTCCTTTTCTACTGAAATCTTCTTCCTTCAGAGCAAACTTCCTTCTTAGGACCTCAGAGATAAGGACAGCAGGGTCCTCCTCCTTCAGTAAACTCCGGTTCAGATCTTGACTCTGTTTCATCCGGTGAAAGTCCTTCAGGATCCCCATCATATCTGCAAAGCTGCTGGCCTTGGACAGAGAGACACAGTCATCCTCTTCAGATGAGCTGCAGGTAGCTTTGTGTTCCAGTTTGCAACATTCAGGGCTGGCAGAACAAAGCAGGGGGACTGATGGAAGCTCAGGGACCTCTACCTCGGTCTCCTCAGTGATGTCACTAATGACAAAGGAAGTTGTAGAGTGGAATGAGGATCCAAAACAAGGTAAGGGAGAAGAGACATTTGAACTTCCTGGAGATAAGAAATCTGGCGTTAATGAAGCCGAAGCTGTATCGGCTGCCACTATCTTAGCAATCTGGTTGCGCAGGTGGCTCAGCTCATCCTGCAGCTCTGTGGTGCGGCTCAGGGCTGGCAGGGCTGGCTTCTTCAAGGCTAGGAGCCTCTCCTCGGACCCACGCAGGTTGGGCACTGAGGCATTGCGCTGCATGACAATCAGAGGGCTGGGCTTCCAAGTGTGCCTCAGGGGGCGTGTATCACTCCTGACCCGGGCGTATGTCTCCTCTTCATCTGCAGCAATCCAGGCGATATCAGCCAGAGTAGGGACTGGGGGCACATCCCTCAGACACAGATCAGAGACATTGGGCAGGGTCTCAAAGGACGCCCGGGGACATGGCTTCAGGGGCAGGTTGGTCCCAATTCTTCTCACTACACTGCGAGCAGCCCCATGCGGTTTATTCTGCCAGATCGGGATGGTCGCATTGGCTTCCATTCCCGACTTTTCAACCGGCTCCTGCACTTGAAGGACAAGGCAGCTTGGGGAGGCGTGATTCCTTCATATCAGGACATCTTGCGGACACCAGAGTTCCCTTCCTAAGACTCCGGCTCCCGGACTCCCTCACCTCACAGCCCCTCCTCTCACTTGACCTTCTTAACTGCACTTAAGTCTCAATCAAGCATAATGATTGGTGCCTGTCTTACATGGGTAAGAGGACCCACCAATGAGGGTCTCTTCCTAGAACCCAAGTAAGACACAGGAAGTCTCCACCCTAGAAGGAAGAAATCATGCATGACTTTTAGAAACTCATTTTACTTTGAAAACATTTCAAACTTACAGAAAAATTGCAAGAGTTGTGAAGTGAACTCCCACTTAGCCATTACCTAGATCCTATAATTATTAACATTATGACATACTGACTTTCTAACTCTCTCTGTATACTTACTACTATTTCATTTAATTTTTTTGCTGATGATTTGAGAGAGATTAAGTTGTAGATGTCAGGACCTTTGACCTGGAAGGACTTTGGCAAGTATCAACATTTTCTTACATAACCATAATCAAAATCAGAAAATATATCATTAATGTAATACACCATCTAATTACATGTAACTTTTAAAATGAGTTTCCCTTTTTTGTTTAAATCAAATTATTAGGTTTAAAAATTCCTATATAATAAAAGGGTAATATGCAAAATGACCCTAAGGACAGAACGACCAGAACGACCGCTGGACCAGTCACTGTGAGGCACACTGACCTCCTCTTGGTCCGTTTCCCTGGCCGGCAGGCTCTGATCGCCCAATGGAGAATGGGGAATGGGGAGGTGGCAGGGGATGAAGGCAGTGTCAGGCTCAGGCCCCCACCCCGCTGGTTGCGCCACACACAGAGGGTGACCCACAGTGGGGGTGGGGCCAGCGAGCAGGTGGGAACAGCTAACCTCTTTGTTCCTTCCCCGGCCATCAGGCACTGATCACCTGATGGCTAACGGGGAACCAGGGTGAGTGGTGGTGGGGGGTGGGGCCAGCTGGGGGCAGCCAGGGAAGATGGCCCTGATCACAGGCCAGGCCTAGGGACTGTACTTGTGCACGAATTTTGTGTGCCGGGCCTCTAGCAAAATATAAAGATATGTAGAGTAAAAAGTAAAAATGTCCCTTTAACTTTCCCTACCATCTTATCCACTCCCAAGGGGAAACCAGCATTAACATTTTTACATCAATGGAGTTATAGTTCTCTACAAACTACAGACATAGGACATGATTTTTTTTGAAGGTTGATTCTTTTTCTCTTATTCTGCAGACCCTTTCATGTTATACATATGGCCCTGTCCTTCCTTTTCCTCTCTGTATTTGTAGAGTATCCCATAGTTTGTATGGACTCAAACGGATATAATCAGTCCATTTTGATGGTAATTTAGCTTGCTTTCATTTGTATTTGGCTGTTAATAGCTACTCTGAATTTTGCACACATGTATGTCTTTGTGCATACATGTGAATACCTATAAGGGTTAAATTCCTAGAAAAGCAATTTCTGGATTGAAGAAAACAAACTTTTAACAAATTTGGCTCAGAAATTAGCTCTTTTTGAGAACTGACTTATTTTTCTCTTTCAAGCACTTTATCAAGCAGCTGGCCACTGTGCCTCTTCAGTTTGTCCTCTATGAGCTTTTAAGTCCAGTGTTTGACCCCTCTCAAAGCTTGTATGAAATGCCATCTTAAAGCACATGCTTCATGTGTCACCTTAACTTTTTGGTTTCATCTTATGCCTCTGTAATTGTGTTTTAACTTCGCTTGATATGTGTGGCAACTTAATACAATTTTTATTTTACTTTTTATGTATGCTAATTTGTATACTGAGTCCTTTCAGAACCAGAAGGGCTGTGAGTACATAAAACAATTGCATTGAGGTTTCTCATGACAGGTCTGGGAGTGGGGGGAGGGGCAGATGTTAGCAGGCCCTGGTGGGATCTGCTTCTCACCAGGCACTTTGTGGAGCTGGCTCACTGCACCTTCCCAACCCTTTTCTAAGATGGGGCTCAGGGTCTCCAGCTTGCAGATGACACCAGATCTGGGAGACTTACAGCCCATGTCCTCATCCCCACGCCCCCTTCAACTGTGAGTGTGCTGACAGGTGAGCTCTCAGGGTGACTGGTGAGTGCATCCACTTCCAAGAAACTTATCCCTTATCACTTCCAAGACTACTTTTAAAAGGCAGCTGGGATGCACGACAGAGGTGCACCTTGAGCTTGTGCTGGCCCTCACCACGGGGGAGGCCTGTGTCCATTGCATTAAGTGGATTGTCACCCACTCCTTCCCCCTGGAGGCTTTGAGATAGAAAATACAGGGTCAGAGGATGACCTCTGAGTGTATGTGACAAGCCCCATTGATGTCAATCAAAGCAAAAGGACTTTAGCTATAGCAGGAGGAACTGGGATTAGCTCTGGGGTAGGACTTCTGCCCAGTGAGAAGGACTAATTTCAAAAATGAGTTAAACGCCGAACCGGTTTGGCTCAGTGGATAGAGCGTCGGCCTGCGGACTGAAGGGTCCCAGGTTCGATTCCAGTCAGGTGCATGTACCTGGGTTGCGGGCACATCCCTACTGGGGGCTGTGCAGGGGGCAACTGATCGATCTCTCTCATCGATGTTTCTAACTCTATCCCTCTCCCTTCTTCTCTGTAAAAATTCAATAAAATATATTTTTTTTAAAAAATGAGTTAAACATGGAGGTAAGTATGGAATTTCCTTCTAATAGCCTTTCAGAATATGCCAAATCCTCAGCCATCTGGGCTTAAACATTGAGAATTAATAAGGCCTCATGTGACAGCCTTGCTAAGCCTCCTGAGAAAGCTACCATTCCCATGCCAACTGATCATTAGCTGCAGGACTCAAGGCTTTCTTTTCTTGACAAAATTTGATGTAGGCCACCAGGTGGTGATAGTTCAACAGAAATAAATTCATGAGGCAGGGTGTGTATTTTTTCCATCACTGAGTACTCACAGTGTCCTGCACAATTCCAGGCATAAAGTAACTGCTCAGTAAAAGATGAACAATGTCTAGCTGTGCAGGACTGTTCAGAGGACCTGGGAAATGCAGACCTTGTTCTAAGCTCGGCCCCTGGCCTGGCTCCATCAGCACTCTCTGAGGAGTAGGAGAGGAAGGATGCATTGTCTATTGATTTCTTACTTGCATTAGTTCACTCTCATCTGTGTTGACAAAAGAAACCAGTCTTCATTCTTCTACATTGCTCCACGCTCTCTTAGACCTTCATCTAATAGAGGATTAAGACGGAGAGAGAAGGTTAGACTCAGGAACGAAAGGTAGAACCTAAGACCAGAGACTTTAGGTTGGCAAACAGGCTTTGAGGAAATTAGTGTTCTGCTGCCCAGCTCAGAAACCAGTGGGTGAAGAGATGCAATTTCAGAGCCACTGAAATAAATGAACCGGGAGGTGGATATGGGGAGTGACTTGGGGAAAATGACTCAAACCTTGCAAGCTCTGGTATGACACACGGAGCCCTGATGTCAGTGCTCACGTTGCACCAGCAGCAAAAGGATCCCCAAGGCCAGGTACCACCAGGCAGAGCATTGAGCATGAAAGAAAAGCTTCCTTCTCTTTGTACAAATTGAGGCCACAACTCCCAGGACTCTAGGCTCTGCTCTGGGCTCCTCACTGCCTTGGAAATATGCAGAGCCTGCAGAAGCCACGTGAAAGACCCTGTGCCCGGCGCCCTGTCTCTCCATGATGCCGCACACTAATCTGTCCGGTGAGCCATCTTCATTTCTAGTGTCTGCTCCTTCTCTCCGTCCCCTCTGCACCTTATCATTTCTTCTATGGATGACTGTGATGATCACCTCTTAAACTCTTCTACCTGCCTCTGATCTTACCGCTCCCAACCCATTGTCCACATAGGCAGCTAGAGACATCTTTTCAGCACACAAACCTACTCATGCCACAACCTCTCCCATCACTCCCCACTGTGGTGCGCATGCAAAGAGCTCTGAGCTCAGTTACCTTTCAGGCCTTATTTATACGCCCTCCCCAGGTGCTCCCCATCCCCGCTGTGTCTTCTCAGTGCCCAGGAGCCACCATATCCTGTTACCCACTTAGTTTCTGGGGTGAGCCTGTTCCCTCCCTCTGGGATTCCTTTTTCCTACTTAGTGAACTCTGTCTCATCTAAGTTCAGATGTCACCTCTTGCTGGAAGCCCTTCCCCATTTCCCCAAGCACAGTTCCTTCCTTGGCCTCAAAGAAATCATTTATTTATTGTTACAGAGAGCTGTGTGCTTATCTCTCTACCCTGTGCCTCAGACCACAAGCTCCTTGACAACAAGGATTGTACCTTGCCCTGGCTGGTGTGGCTCAGTTGGTTGGGCGGGCAGGGGCAGCTGATTGATGCTTTGCTCTCACATCGATGTTTCTCTCTCTCTCTTTCTCAAAATCAACTTGAAATTCTATTTAAAAAACACACAGTTGTTTTTATTTTTTTTTTCATATTCTCTCTTCCCTTCCACCCACCGAGTGGCTCGACATGTATTTGTTGTGTCATAAGAATTTGAAAAATGTACAATATATAAAGCCCAAAGGATGGACACAGAGACTTCCCTGTGGCGACACACTCTTGAGTCCAGAAGGACAGAAGCTGAGAAAGGACACGAATGAAAGCTATGGAACCCTAAGGAAAACAGAGGGGGCACACAAACTACTGGGGTGTGTCTGTTCCTTGGTCCCTGGACTGCCATTGTCTTTTGCTTTCAGATCCATCCCTGCCTTTCTCTTGCAGGCTGTTTCCCAGGCCCTTGCCAATGGCTTCTGTCTAGGTTTGGCAGGAGTTTAGAGCTGGGAGGAAGGGAGAAGTCAGGGCACTTCTGCTTCTCTCTCTGCTCTGGGCAGAAGGGCATTTCCTGGCCCTTGCTCCATCTGCCAGACTGTTCCTGATTCCTGCTGGATGTCCCTCCTCCATGGTCTCACCTCCTGCCAGACAGCCTCTGCTGTGGTCCTAGTTCACGCTGAAGGGCCCTGGCTTCTGGGTGTGGAATAACACCATCCACCATCCCCCCCTACCCCCACCCTCTCGTATCCCACAGCCCTGGAGGGATGCCAGCATCCTGCTGTTGCTCATTTTTGTGTTGTATCACCATCTTTG